ATCAATGTGCTCGGAATGAAAACCGATTTTTTCTTAGTGCTCTTCTTTACCGACCGTCTTTGTCAAAGAAAACGTATTTCATTTCATTTGAATAGCACCGATGAAACGGGGGGGAGGGAAACTGGAGAAAAAAGGACGAAGAAGAACAGTGAGATAGTGTTTAAAGCGAAGAAGAGATGGAGTCTCTGGCTGAGCAAACAAGTGAGTCTTTGAAGGGCCTGGCATTTGACAGGAAGTGAGAGAGATGCGAGGGGAAGAAAATGCGAGGTCATTTTCTTTTCTCAATGAAGAGGAAACAGTCTGAGAGGGTTCCTGAACTATCCAAAGGTATCTATCAGCCAGGAGGTTTTCTCAGCATCAAATATAACGTTGAAATATTTTCCTGCTGACGAGGTTTCAGCCTCCAGAAAAAAACATTCAGCCATTTTGTCTTTTTCTCACGAGATGATCTACGAATGTTTGGCGCATATGCAGTAACAATGTTTCCCGGTAAGTTTGTCTTACCGTTAAGAGGTAGCTGTTTATTTTTGAACATTGTGTGGTTGAAATGGTTTGTGCTGTTTTAGTTATATCCAGCAGTGTTGGTGTTATTTGATGTGTTTGGAGTGCTAATAGCAGCAATAATAGTCATTTAGCGGAAAAAAATCCAGCACCAAACTGATCAGGGAGCAACGGCAATGCAACAATCCCGTGAGAATGACTACAGTCCAACCCAAAGCAGAAGAAACGTCTTACCATGGGAATTCAGGGGCAAAAGGAAACGGGTATACCATTTGAAATCTGAGTTTATGTCTGCTTTTCTAAATAAACTGAAGAACAGATAAACAATATCCCAATAAGCATGTTTTACACTAACTTTGTCTTTACTGTGAAACTCGTAAAACTTTGAATTCGATTACTTGTTGGAACCATAAAAACCACAAACAAGGCAAGCTTTGACCAACCCGTGCAACAAGATTTTTATTCTTCTAAGGCCAAAAGGAACGTTTAATCGTTTAAATGACTATGGAGGAAAGCCCTCTTTCTGTATCCTTCAATGAATCTTTCCGTGGTATTCCTGCTCTGATAGCAGGTCCAGTGGTTAAAAGCCATTTCTCAACCCCAACGAATGTGAAGCTGAGTCCTTTAAAACCTAAATAAAGAGGAATGGACCAACACTGAAGGCCAGGGTCCATGAAGCCCTCACAAAGCAGATGTTGACTTGTCTACGGAATTGCTCCTGAAGGTATGGATTCTCTCAGGGAGCTCCTCA